ACCCGAGGCCGGTGGTGAACTTTAACCGAGGCCGGTGTTGAACTTTGACCCCGGTGGTGAACTTTAACCGAGGCCGGTGGTGAACTTTGACCCGAGGCCGGTGGTGAACTTTAACCCGATGCCGGTGGTGAACTTTGACCCGAGGCCGGTGGTGAACACTGCCTTTCTTATGAACTCGTGCACTCATCCCAGGGTGGAGGTGCAGTTGTATGGGTCCACTAGGATGAAGGTGTTGGAAGGCCCTGCCTGTGAGAGCTAGAATCAGAGTACATGGTCATCAACATGGTAGTTTTACTTCAGACTCTTCAGTTGTTGCATTATGTTTGTAGTTCAGCAATTTAACTATGTTTAACCATTACAGCATTATTGTTTTTCTTGGACTGTTGTTTCAGATGTGTATAAAAGTGATGAAATCCTTTGTTGCTGTTCTAAGCTATGTTACGGATGAAGGCTGTCATACACAGTACATAGTGTGAGCTCATAACTCGACAGCCCGGTGTTACCTTTACTACCACAGCTTCTTCCTCAGTCTGCACAAACGAGCAGCAAAGTGGCAGCAGAACACAAATCCTGCAACAGAAGCAGACGAGAGTCGGAACGAGAATGCTGATGAAATCCTGAGAGAGCAATAAGTGTGTTTGTTTATTGACATGATCCTCTCTCTGTTTCTGTGCTTTGTTTGAATTGAAGGAGCTTCATGGGGTAATGCCTCCTCTACCTCCCTCGTCTTGCCTGTCTGTGTCATCATATATGTGTGTGTATGCGAGAGAAAACATACGTACCGACACCTACGTTGCCTTGACAAGTCATTTCCTCCCATATTCTTACTTCTTGAAATGTATCCAGGCTTTCTTTAAAGGCATGTCATAGGATGAGGACTACAGCGTTATGATTGGACATGTGACCTCTTTGCACATGCATAAGTTGAATTTTGTAGAGAAATTACAAACAAAGAAAAATGCAACCAAAAAATCATCCCTTCTGTGCTCAAGATGTCATTTAATGGGATGAAAAACAATCTGTCTGAGAAGTGAGACAGAAATATACTTTGTTTTCCCAAAACACAACACACACCCCACATTCACTGGATTTATCCACCACCATCATTTATTATGATTATTAGTGCAAAATAATAATTGTAACAGCAAAGTCAGTTCAAAAGTACAAGATGCATCACCTTCAGCTGTTAAGCTGTATGTTTCCTTTAAGCCTGTCAGACATTGAGGACATGAAGTAAGATTGCTTGTTTGTCACGGTGTGCACGGCTGTGTCTGGAACACACTCCCATCCCGTAGAGATCTTCCTGTTCTTCATCATGTGCTCGGCTAAAGATCTCCTCTGCTATAGAGCGGCGCGTCACCTGTGTGTTCATCACCTTTGTCTGATGGGAGGTGTTTCCAGCAGCACTGTGCCACAGCTCTGCCTGGACTGTAATGATACCATCAATTTCACATTATCTATCATAAATTCACCAGAAGCTTCCTGAAGTAACAAGTCATCTGCTGCCGGAGGCCTTGAGTAGGTCTCCGGGGATCCATCGTCTCTGTGTTCACAGCATGCACATTAGATGAAGTGTTAGAGCTCTTTACCACACTGTCACATCATCTCCATTCACATGCAGTTTTCTTTACATTGACTTAACCTACTCGACCTCTATCTGTCAGACTCGGCATCGTACTGCTGATGGGGATAAATACTGACTTCATGGTTTGGCTAACACATCATCATCTACAACCTCTATAATATGGAGACACAATGTCCACTATCAGATCGGTAGATATGATGAAGTAATGCTAACTAGCTTACCGTGTAGTCACCTATCATATCATTGAGTTACTACATGAGTTTGTGTGTTTACAGGTTACATTTAAAACAGGCCCGTCCACTGTGTAGTACATGTGTGGAGGCTGGTCCTGGGGGCTGCTGTGGCTAGCAGCTCCTCAGCCAACATTAGCCGAGATAGTACTACTCTGCCAAATGAGTGCCCTGTCACTCTTAATGTTAAAAGTGAAAACATGCTATTTAAATATACAAACACGCATGTACATGTTTGTCTCAAGGATGGATCATTGCCTGGAACATGTAGCTTTAACCCCAATCTCAGCATCATGTATGTAGCATACAGACGCATTTACAATATGTTGATTTAAAAATGAATTAGTGTGAAACATTAAAAAGTTTAAACATTAAACATTTAAACATTAAACATTTAAACATTAAACAGCGTTTCAACCGACTCATGGAGCAACTTTAGCATGATTAGCTAGCTCGCTACAGGCTGAGGAAATAACACATTTCAGCTGGAATCAATTCATATTTTTACTAAGAATTGAATGTTCATTCTGCAGCCAGCATCACTGTAAACTAAATATTTGCCATACAAGAGCTTACAGCCGTAGCAGTGACAGTAATTAAGGAAGGGTGGGGCTTAGCTAACACTGTATTTCCTTCTTATATTCAGCCTTTATTTCACCAGGCGAGTCATTAAGAACACTTTTTATTTACAATGTCTGCTTGGCGAAGAAGGGGGGGGGGGCAGACACCCACAGCTCACGGTGCATTCTGTCCAACGACCATTTAATATCATAATGACACGTTTCATGACAAAGTCTTTGTTCCTCAGTCATGACAGAAAGGGTGGAGTTATGATGACCGAAGCAACAGCCAATCACAGAGCTGGTTCTGCCCTCTGTCTTTACTGGCAGACAGTGACTTTGTTATGAAAAGTTGTGTTTTTAAATAACAGCATTTATATGAATTGACCTGCAGTAATATGAAGTAATCTCTGTGACTGTGAAAAGAAGCAGGATGAAACACAGTGTCACGATGTCATCAGCAGGTTAAATACATCAAAAGCAAACAGAAGGCTGTTATGACAGATAGAAAGTACAGCGGTCACTCACTCACTCACTCACTCACTCACTCATGCATGTGTCCGGAGCTCCTTCTGCCTGCATCTGCCTGTGTCGAGGAGAACCAATCGCAGCCTCCCATCAAAGCCGAATCTGTCATCTCACCAAATGTTGAGTTCAGTCTGAAGCTTTTTGGTGCATTTCACATTTGATGCTGCAAACTGTAATACTGCTTCTTCATGTTGGTTTTAGATGCAGTGATAACCTGGTTTTCAAAGTTTGGATGAAATTTGTATTTGTTTTATTATGATTATTATAGCACTATATTATTTAGAAAATCTCCCAAGAGACCTATTTTGTTGGCATTTGCTCTTTTAATTTGATGCTTTGGTTGAGACTGATAAGTTGTACTTGTGTGTAAATAAGTGAACAAGAAGTGAGCAAGTGACATAACTGAGTCATAACTCGCAGCAGTTTTGGTCTGGGTGTTACGTCAGTGATCCAAAGACAACCGGCTCATTCACACCCGCTGCATTGAATCCATAGAGGAGCCTGTTCTTTACTGGGATGTACACATCCAAAGTACATCAAATCTTACATCTCTCAGACAGTAGAATCTATGTTGTTTTTCATTTGATGTAAACATGTTTTATTGTGTTGGTGTGTGAAGCATCCATAATGTGCTGTACCTTGTTTTACACTGTTTCCCCAAGTAGATCGCAGCAAGGTGTGACCAGGTGGGAACCTCCCTCTGCCCCCTATTCACAAACCTCCCCATAACTCCCCATCCACCCTCTCTAACTGCCATTCTCCTTCATGCTTAGATCAGCCTCATGTAGAAAACAAGTAAACCCATAATGCAGTCACTCAAATGCCTTTGTAACACAACAGCAACCTTTGTGTGACAGCGTTCAACTAAAACCTGCCTCTTCCTCCTCCTCCTCCTAGCAGTGTCATTATAAGATGCTCTATGAACCTCATGGCTGGAAATGAAACTTTCTATTTGTTTCTAGGTCATAACTTCAAACTGCAATGAATACAAGTTCTTTAACGAGGTCATTATCTTGGTACTAGTCTAACATATTTCAGTAATAACCAATAGTAAGCTATAGTTGGTTTTAAAAAGATATATAATGTGATCTTACAAACATATTCTTTATTTTGCATTTTGGAATGAAACCTGAAATGTTGAGCACAGTGTCGTATTTGTCCTCTTGTGTTAGTCGATCTATTTCCCTCACAACTACAAACTCAGGCCAGTTTACACTAAACATGTCTCCCTTCTCCCGGAGTAACGTTAAGCAGCGCAGCAGTGCAACCCTCCAGCCTTCCAGTCCTCACTGGACACATCAGGGTTCCTCAGCATCACGACAGGAAGCATCAAGCCATTACTCAAAGATGAAAACACATTCTTCTGCACAAATAGATTTCTGCATGTATAATGAATAATATGATCAGCCTTCACTACTCACTGTGCTGCGATCACGATCAGTAACTGTGTGTAGTTGACAGTGGAATACGTTTAGGATAGTTCTTCTCCATAACGAGACCATGAACATCAGCTTTTAATGTTTCTGACATGTTTCCCCTCATAATGTCAAAAATAAAAAAAGAATAAAATAAATGTCATAGATGTTGATTGCATGTGTTTAACGTAAACCATCAGTGTTTATAGAATGCAAGCTGAAAAGGTTACGAGGATCATCGTGTTTCTCTCATGTGAATGGAGAATCCCAGAACGGAGTAAATCTTGATGAATTGAAGGAAATGGATCCAAGTCCTACTATCTGTAACACTTCCTCCACTATCGTCTCATGCACGGACTCTCAGTGTGCATATGTGTGAGTGAGACGGTAGTGGAGGAAGTGTTACAAGTAGTACGATTTTGGGAATTAGTAGCATACGACTGGATAAAGGAGACTTGCTGTACAAAGAGTCTGTAAATGGATGTTTGGATGTAGTTCTGCTGTTGCTTAAGCTGGACCCTGATGAGTTCACTTCACTTCATCAAGGATTTACTTTATCACCGTTTTATGATTCTCAGTTTACCTCGGAGGCGAGAAAAACTCTTCTTAAAGAATTCACTGTTACTGTAATTGATACACAAATGGTCATCTGAGGGGTGAACTGCTCCTTTAAGACCAGAGGCCATCCTGTAACTTATTTTATAATGCAGTTGGTTGGCTGAGTGATGCAACTCATACTCTCCAAGAGAACGAGACAGCAGGAGTGCAATGGAGGTAAAAATAGAGCAGAGTTTGTTTTCCAGGCCCAGCTCTCTGTTGTCGTTGTAGGATGATAATCATGAGCCAGATGTTCTCATTATCATTTGAACCTTCTCATCCCTCTGAAAGACTACTGTCGCATTTTAGCCTCCACAAGTCTCATCTCATATTCTCTCTTACTTCCTCAGTATATACTGTATGTATTAACTGATGTTGAAAGCTATCAGAATATCATTATATTTCTGTTCTCTGAGCCCACATTGTAACTGTGTCTGGTCTAAACCCCACTGGTTCTATGTCACTATGAATGCATGCTAGGCTAACGGGATCTCTTAAAGGCTCATGGAAAGACAAAAGCTCCATCCTTATATCAGATGCCACGCTGTTTGTCACCCCAAAGCCAATTGCAGTGGTTCTCAAAGTGGAGTCCAGGGTTCTTTAGGGGCTCTTAGAGAGCCACGGTCCTCTTTAGCTCCGTATCACACTGCATTCTGTGTTTTCATTTACCGACCTCCAGGTCCTTAGATCGCAGTGTTGCTGTTTTATTGCTTTCGCATCTAAACGTTCCTTGGAGCTCTTATCAACAACTGTAATCAGGCTACAGAGTTCTCTGCAAAATAGGCAGAACAGATCCCTTTGTGTCAAAGCACATGGTCAGAAGCACATGGTCAGACCCCAACACATCACTGTATCACTAATATAAAATCACTGTACAACTTATACAACATCACCGACAACTAATATGACATCACTGTATAACTAATATAAAATCACTGTATAACTAATATGACATCACTGTACAACTAATATGGGGCGACTGTGGCTGTTCGATCCCCGGCTGCACTAGTCCATGTCGATGTGTCCTTGAACAAGACACTTAACCCCAACATGCTCCCATAGCTGTGCCTGCGGTGTGTGAATGTTGTATGAATGTTAGTTAGTCCTACGTTGCATGGTAGCTCCTGTCATCAGTGTGTGAATGGGTGTGAATGGGTGAATGATGACACAGTGTAAAAGCTCTTTGAGTGGTCAGAAGACTAGAGAAGAGAAATACAAGTACAGTCCATTTACCATTTACCATATAACCTGTCCAACTGATGTAACATCAATGTGTACAGACACATATGTATGGAAATGGAATAATACTAATTTCAATGTTAAATATCATGAAATAAAATAATAGTCAATAAAAAAAAAAAAGGCCGGGATTAAAACAGAATTGTATCGAAAAAGGCCATACTACCAAACTACCACACCACCATACTACCAAACTAACATACCACCAAACTACCATACTACCAAACTAACATACCACCAAACTACCATACTACCACACCACCATACTACCAAACTACCACACCACCATACTACCAAACTACCATACTACCATACTACCAAACTACCACACCACCATACTACCAAACTACCAAACTACCATACTACCATACTACCAAACGACCAAACTGCCAAACTACCATACGAACATACTACCAAACTGCCATACTACCATACTACCAAACCGCCATACTACCATACTGCCATACT